TTTGGGTTGTTCTGGCAGCGAAAAAGGACAACAAAAGGCCAAAGTATTGATCTTTTGATCAGGAGGAGCTGATTGGTTGATTATCTGCTAACGACACATTTTAGACCCAAAGGTCGCTCATCTCTGCCCTCGACAGTTAGGGAACAAAAAGAGAACCAAGATGAATGAAACCTGATCCAGTGGATGATCAGAGCAGCTCCTCCAGGTTTGCTGAGGAGGAAACTCAGAAAGGGAAGAATGTGATCTAAATCAGACAGAAATTAACTCATTATTGGTTAAAACGCCATAAATAAACGGCTTCAGAGTCACAGGAAGTAGAGGAATAATGGAATTAGATTCCACTTCTTCTGCAAACGCAGAGGGCTGCCTCTGCAATCTCAGCTCCTGACTCACGGCGACATTAAACACATTCCCTCCTGACGCTTCAGCTGTAAGACGGCACCTGAAAACCCTCCCTCTCTGATGGACTGCGCGCTCACAATGAGAACACAGACCCATGAATGCATGGAGCAGAGAAACAAAGGAAATATCAGAGCAAAGAAAAGCCTGTTGCTCATGGGAGCAAAGCTACGAAGCATTCAGCCTGAAAAGCAACAGGCTGATCAGGCCACTCATTGTTAGCATTGTGAGGCTTTTAGCTGCAGCTCGGTCTGCGCTGCCTGATAAGTGTCTGCTGAGGCTGAGGGCCAACGTTGGCCAGGGGGCCACATTCATTATACGCCGTCCCTGGAGGAATTTGGTTGTTTCCTCGGTCTGCAGAAACATCTCTGATTATTCTGGTTGGGATCGTGTGAAGAACAGAACAGGAAGGCTACAAAACACAGAACCTATTTCTATACCAATCAAAATCACACATTTACTCTTTAGATTTATTTCATTTAAAATCATTTCCCTCATTTTAAGTTCAGAACACCAGTCCTGCTTTCTGCCTGAAGTTATTATTTAATAAAGCAGATTTCTCCATAAATCCTGAGGAAAGTTAGAAACAACCATAAAAACAACTTGTTCATCTCGCAGCCAGACATAGTTGTTAAAAAAAGTCTGTCTAGGTGACATTAAATGACCTTCTGGTAATAAAAGAATCAGGAAGTCTGATAAATTCAGTAAAACACCTTCAGCTGATCCAAAATGCTGCAGCCAGAGTTCT